GCTTGCCAGGCAGGCCCTTTGCCGCTGAGCTAAATCCCCAGCCCCGACTATAATTAATCCTTCTGGTTTATCCATTGAGGGGAATGGGGTATTGAAATTTCCCACTCTTACGTTGGAGCCTACTTTCCTCTTTAGTACTAATAGTGTTTGTGTAGTAAAACTGCATGGCCTGCCATTAGGTGCACATAAAAATATAATCATTATGCAGCTTCTTGATGAATTGATTCCGATGGAGTTCCTGTGCCCACCTGGAACCTGCTGAGCCCCGCCTTTACTTGAATGCATGTCCAGCGTTCTGGTCTTCACAGCTCTGACCTGTATCTTACATCACTCACTGCTCACAACACTCTCCTGCTTCTCTAGCCACCATCTCAGACCTTTCCAGACTCTTCCCACAGGCGGGTTCTAAAGTCCTTAAACCACACGGTCAAGTATAGTCTCTGCAGTGACCCCACTCCTGGTACCAAAATCTGCCTTTGCCACTTTTCATCACTGAGACAAAATACTTGACATCCTCAACCTAAAGGAAGATAGGTTTATTTTGGCTTGTGTTTTCAACACGTGGTCAGCTGGCTGCAGTCAGGAGGGGTGTGATGGAAAGGTTTGGTGGGGGAAAGCTACTCACAGTAGCAAGAAAACAGAGAGCAAAGAGAGGAGCTGTGGAGAAGGACAAACTCCCCCAGGTCATGTCCCCATGACCTCCTTCTGACCCCACCACTAACAGCACACCCCGCTGCTGAACTCACTAGTGGGGAGTCCACTGGTGAGTGCAGCGCCCCTGTGATCCAGTCCCCGCTGAAAGCCCTGCCTCTGCACACATGCAGCTTTTAGGGGACGCTCTGGGTTTAAACCGTGACACTGTTGCTGGACTTGGTGTCTTAAGACAGTTCATGTTCAGAGGTATTACTGAAAAGTATAGACCTCTCATTTTGTTGATTTTCTTAGTTTTTCTGAATAGTCTTTGTTTCTTCCTCCTGTTCATCTTTGTGGTTTGATCATTTGTTTCCTTTGTGTGTATTTACTCTTCTGATAAGATCTCTACTTTGACTTGCAGTCATGGTAGAGCTTCCTTAAGTAATGTCTATAAGGCTTTTCTGGTGGTCATTAATTCCTTCGGTTTTTGCTAACTTGGAAGGTGTTTGTTGTTGTAGTTGTTTTTTCGGTCTGTGTGGTGAGGGTATTGATCCAAGGGCCTGGAGCATGTTCTCCCAAGTGCTTTGTCACTGAGTTACATTACTAGCCCTCCTGTCCTTCTTGTCTGAGACAGGTTCTCCCTAAGTTGTGCAGACTGCCCTTGGACATGCAGTCTGCCTGCCTTAATCTCCTGCGTGGCAGGGATTACAGATGTGTGCCACTGCACCCAGCTTCTTGGAAGGTCTCTATTTCTCCTTAAAATCTGAACAGTAGCCCTGCTGGGTAGGGTAATCTTCGTTGCCAGTTACTTTCTTTCAGGACTTGAAATAAGGTCAGTCTGTGTTCTCCTGGCCCGTAAGGTTTCTGCTGAGAAATATGCTCTGTGAGGGAGGTGCCCCTGAATGTAACTTGGTACTTTCCTCTGGCAGATTTCAAAATTCTTTCTCTGTCCTGTGTGTTTGACAGTTTGACTCTACTATGGCATGGTCAGGTCTTCTCTGGTTATGTCTGCTTGGGGTTCTGTAGGCCCTCCCGTACCAGGACGTCCCTGTCTTTCCAGTTAGGAGTTTTCTGCTATTATTTCATTAAATAGGTTTTCTGTGCCTTAAAAGTGCTCTCTTCTTTCCTTGTAGATATGCCCCTAAGAATGTTTGGTTGTTGAGCAGTGTCTCAAGGGTCTTGAATGCACCTTCCATTCTTTTTCATTTTTTCTGTCTACATGAGGTTCTAAATTACTTGTCTACCAACTTCAGAATTCTCCCTAATCTGCTCTTTTGTTTAGGCCCTCAACTAAATTTTTTATTTAGCTTTGTGAGCTCTCCATTCCCAAGATTTTGTTTGGTTCTGTTTCAGACTTTCTCTTCACTGAATTTCTCATTCATGTCCTGCATTGTCTTGCTAATTTCTTTTGTGTGCGTGCTTTACTTTCTGTTGGTTTATTTATTGAGATAAGGTCTCACTATGTAGTGCATGTGTTCCTCAAGCTTACTAGGTGGAGCCCAGGGTGGCCTTGAACTTGGGGTGACCCTCCTGCCTCAGCCTCCCAAGTGCCACCATACCTGGTTGTCTTCCTAATGTCATTTAACTGTTTATTTGTATTCATGTGGTTCTGACGGAGCTTTTAAAAAATTACGTATTCTTTTGAATATTTCACTAGTCATTTCATCCACTTCTGCATCTTTGGTATCTGTGCCCAGGTAGTTATTTTTAGGGAGGTGTCCTGTAAACCATTGTGCGTATTTCTTACGTTTCTAAGCTGAAATCCGTGCATCTGATAGAAGGAATGTCTCCACCATTGTTATGGGGCAGCGCTGTGAACAGCGTCCTCCCGAAGCGCATCGTTGCGCGGTTCCGAGGCTCGGCCGGCGCCGTGCCGTGGCTGCCTGGGCAGTGACCGGCCTTGAGCGCGCGGTCCCGTTTCGTTTCGGGTCGGAGGCGGCCGCGGGGGAGTCCGGCA